TAATGATTATACTATATTTGTTATATCCGAACTGATATCGTATCAAAAATGTCTAAAATACTGCTATAAAAACCTCAAGTTAACGTAATTCGTATAAATATATATATAAATGTATATATATTATATATATATATAATATATATATATGTTATATGTCTACAAAAAATAAGAGTCAACCTGTCTCTGTGATTTCTCTCCAGTAGGTGTTAGTGTTGTTTGTTTGTTTGTTTGTTTGTTTGTTTGTTTGTTAATGTTTTGGCGAGGCGACGGCTGTACAAATGGCAGGATTTCTTACTAATCTTGTACAATTGATTATAAACATACACACAATATCAATTATTATCACATATTCAAGATAGATTAGGTTATGGATCTGGCTGCTAAACCGCTTCCCAATCCTCATTATAATAATTAATAAATAAAGCCTATTTTCCTGTAATCCTGTAAATAAATAACTAGAGCTGTAGCAGTCACAATCTATAAACATTCACTGTGCATTCCATCTTTACTCATGTCCACACTAACGTTCTCCAAATTAAACTAGCTCTTGTTCTTTATTTTATATTATATTCATGTTATTCTATTCTATTTATTTTATGGTCATTTTTAATAGATATTTTCACGCACAAGCACAGGGGCTGCACGAGTAGGCTATTATTGCAGATTGCACTGTCTGCTGTAACTCCAAAACACGAGGTGGCGCCTACGTGATAACTCGACACCAGATGGCGTTCATGTTACATTGCAGGCGTTTTCGAAAATTAACTTTAAAGTTTATGATGCACCTCAGCAACGAAAATGAATAATTATCAATAATAATAATAATAATAAAATATGAATAATAATAACAATAATCTACTAACCGCTACAAACCGATATCATAACGACATTCCTGATAATCATTGCTAGTGTGGAAGCCCCGAGCCATGTTCACATTAATTCGTAATCAGTTGCAATGGCTAGCCCACTTAATGTAAAACCCACCCCATTCCACCCCACCTTTGAAACAGCGCGTGCTCCTAAAAGTTCCAAGGTAGTTTACTGTCCATTCAAGCCCATTTCTCGATCAGTCACTTTCTCCATGGTCATTCGTTCGTTCATGGCTAACGACACGGTTGTGTTGTAGGTGGTGTTTAATGGTCATTGCGGAGGCGGGCGGTTGGCTTTCTGGACAACGTGGGGGAGTGTGCAGGCGCTCAGGTAAGCACGGGCCATCGAGGGAGCGGGTGTGGGCGCGGACCACACATATACAACTAGCCGAGGAAGAACAACGCTGGTCTGTTTAGCGGCTTTTTTTACACAATCACAAAACGAGGACTCCCGGTCGGGAAGAATTGCCTCGTTGGAAATGAAAAGGCGGCTCTGAATAAATAGTACGTACTGGTATAAACGGTAGAACGAACAACTCTATGGCCTAGCTCACCCCCGCCCCCTGATGGCTGATCATCAAAATTACTATTTGTTATATACCATACACACGCACTCACGCACGCACGCACGCACGCACGCACGCGCACATACACACACATACTCACACACGCGCGCGCGCACACACACTGCACATATTATTACTATAATATACTGAATTCTATTTTGTGGCTTCTGAAAGAGACATATTGTCTTAAAAGGTTGTATTTAAAATAAGACAGTATATTTCTATATATACTTATATATTTTACATTTCATCTATGTGTGTGCGTGTGTATGGTGTGTGTGTGTGTGTGTGTGTGTGTGTGTGTGTGTGTGTGTGTGCGTGTGCGTGTGCGCGTGCGCGTGTGCGTGTGTGTGTCTGTGTGTGCATGTGCGTGTGCCTCTGAGTGTGTGTATGTGGTGTTTATAAACATTAAAACATATAGGGTTTATGAATTACATTTTTAATATATTCGGCACAAACTATTAAATGTACGGCACACTGACCATCCGTATTTCTGCCTCACACGCGCTGGTGGCAATCGAGGTACTGTATTTCGCCATTCACTAGAACCCTATCCAGGCGAACTCAGTATGTACGCGCCCTTTGTGTTTGTACTAGATCAATATCACTGACCAATGACCACTACTGGTTCCACCATAATCAACAGGACAGTTGCGGCAGTCAGGGAAATCGGATACACAGTTGGTGCCCCAATCGGAGTCTTGCCTATCTTTGCATAACAAAGACAGCAGGATAGAGTGCAGTTCAGCTTGGTGTACGAAACGCACTGTACATGTAGAGAGTGACCACTGGTCAGTGATGGGCAGTAACGAGCTGCTTAGCGCATTTAATCACTCTACGGGTGGGGAACCGCGTGCTTTTATGTTCCAGCTGCATACTAATGATAGCGCCATCGGCCCTTCCACTGCCATTAGACATTGCTCGGACTTTCTGGAGACCCGGAAGATTCGCCAACTCCCAAAACCTTCGTCAATCTAACAGCAGAAATGTCTGACATTTTACAGTGGACAATTCACGTAGGCAGACGGGTGACATAGGGCCTCGCAAATGTATCAACGCCAAACAAGTTTTCTAACAGAGTGAAGGATTAAGCAAGAGAAAATCCGAAAGAAAATACATAGTATTAGAGTATGCGGGAGGTGGCAAGAGGTTTCCTATTTTGGTATATATACATAGGAATTTATACATACTATTCGGAAATTTGGTACTATATACATTAAACGATCAAGAATTATATTTCCGGCACATCACATTCAGCAAATGAAAACATATTTTACACAAAGCAACACGAAGGAATGAGAGCGTATCAAAAAATTGTACAATGTGACTAAAATGTGATAAAAAAACACACACTGTAATACACTATTCCCGGTAAATGCGCGGCTTTTACTGCACGTGGGGAGATATAAGATGGAAGGTATTCACTCTACTGAAACTACGCGACTATTTCGCAAGATCTTCCGTCCCCGGTGCCGAACTCGCGTCACGCTAGTAAATACATTTGGCGAACCCGCAAAAATAACGCCTATTCTTCTGTGCTGGGAACTGTTTAGTGCATGCACGCGCGCATAAGTGTAGGTAGAGGAGCGGGAACAGCCAGCCTGGTCGTTGCTAAATTCTTCCGACACAAGCAAACGCCTGCTGGGGAACAGTTACAATGAGCACAAATGCCGTCCACTTTAAACACAGACTGGGAGGAAATTGACAATCATTCTACCTTTCTGTTCCACTCTGCAATTTTTTTTTGTCACACACAACTCAAATTCCTAGTTTTCTCTTCTTTCGTGAGATATATGAAATATTAATTTATAATTAATTTACATGATTATATTAAAGTTTCTATGCTGCGAGTTCATTTCAGCTGATTTTATTTCGACTAACATCGTTTTGGGATTCAAATCATAATATATCTGTAGATAATGTGACAAATGTTACTTTTAAAATTCCAAATGATCCCACGTACATAAAAGTCTTACTGGTATCGCACCAAAAAGTATTTGTCAAGACAGAAAGGAACCAGTTAGTGTCCAAGGCAGTTCACACACCGACGCTGCACTGTCGCAGTTGTGACCTGCGTGGGTGATGACATAGGCGGGTGGCACTTTAAGATTTACAACAGAAACGTATAAGAGAGGTACAAATATGGTATTTCATAAATTTACTAGTTATAATTAGTAGGGCATTAGCAGATTTTTGTGACGTAGCTATATGTAGTTTTGATAGTTTGTGGTTTGGTAGTATTTAGCTTGCCTCTATTTATTGCACTCGACATTCCATAGATTTATACACTCGTTACATCATTTAGTTTTATTCGTTAATGAGTTTCATTTATATATATGTATAATTCTAGTTTACTTATTCTACTATACATTATTAATTATGTATATACATATATATATATATATATACAATATTGAATATATACAGTTTAGATCAATATAATGACGATTTTGAGATTACCCACATAGATAGATTACTCTGTGCTATGAGAGCCTTCTATTGTATATATTCACCCCAGCATTGTATTAAATAAATTACCAGAAGCTATTATACATATGTAATTCTCATACACACATAGTGAAATATTATATAATGCATGAGCAATTAGAATGTATCATAAAAAAAAACTATGCGTACGTGTTTGACCTTAAAATAATTCCTTTCGTGGTTTTTGTCTTCCTTGGACTTTGAAGACCAATCTTTACGAGATTAGATTGGATGTTATCCTGCATGCAAGTGAATAACATTGGATTTTGCGTTAATCCTGTGTTTATACAATACGCGTTTGTTGCCATAATGATTAGGCTACAGCGTGTTTCAGTTCAATTACTAGTTCTACATCTACCCCACACAACGCACACTACATGAAACTTATGCGAGAAAAAATTATCGAATCGCTCCCGTACATGTATGATATAGTATCACATTTATATTGTATATTACGTTTATATTGCATTATTCACGTTTGTATGTGAAACGCAAGGAATATATACTAAATTATAGTCGAATCATAACGATACCGCGTAAAAAGTACGTGAATCATTAGCAATTATCTCCTCGAAGCCAACACAACGAACACAACGAAGTGTGGTTGGATATTATCTTCAGAACTCATGTAACACACACATCACTCTTATTCAGTTGTATGCGGGGTTGATCGCGACTGTGCACAGCTATAACAACTCGGACGCATGCACTGCATATATAAACACTCGCGTCCGCCATGTTGATTAGAATGACCACATCGCGGTCAGAACGTGATCACGATTCACGATGACCACTTCACTCGCACCCGTTCGCTGATCGACGACAGTTCACTCACAGTTAGAGCTATTAGATATTTTCACTATAATCTTTACGTAGGATCGTGGATCTGACTATGAAAGGTGGAGAGACGAAGTAGCTAACGAAAGTTCGAACGAAACGGGTTGTTATTCGTCCGCGTATGCAAATGCTGAGTACACATGTTTACCAAGCCAAAGCTTCGCTGGGTCGGGGAAGCGTTAGGCCTACATGTATGTTACATGCGTAGTAGCGAATCGTACACGTGCGTTTGTCAACTCACCGTAACTGTTCGCGACACTTCCGGGGCTGAAGAGTTGGTTGTGATGAAGAAGGTTAGCTGCCGAATTCGTGATGTAGTCAAAAAATGACGCATCTCCCATCGTGTGTGAGCCCTCCTACCGCAGTCATCGGCATTCACCGCCGTTTGCGATCCCCCTCCTTCGCGCTCAGCGCGTCACACTGATCGTCTTCTTGGGCGCGCCCATTTCTACCGGGGGGTGGGAGGGTGCAGGCAGTAGTGATCTCATATGGTGACTCTCGCTGTTCGGCTGTTCGCCAAACTGCAACGTCATTGTTTGTGAGTGCTACAACTTGTTCTTCCGGTGCATTGACAATTCCTAAGTAACATATGCAGTACGAAGAGTAACACATAAAAAGATAAGACCATATATTAGGCCTGTAGATAAATATTATAACTGCATAACTGTGTGACAAATAATGTCAATGGAATAAATGCGGGGTAGTTCGTCTACTCATATACTGATATAGCTAGAGCCTAAATATGTCAGCAATTAATGTGCATAATTAAAATATCAAACTAAACTAGCTGTTTCAGTTTATATTGTCTATTGGCATTACTGTCTTCTTGTTGCTTAGTTGCTTATATGTCAGTATTCCTTATACGCATTTAGCTTGCCGTTCTTTAAAAATCAAAATTCAAAAATTCAAATTAACTTATAGCGCACGTGCACCAGTTCGTTTGCCTTCCGTCCAAGACGTCAAATAGTTATCTAATCATCTTTCTATTCATCCAAAAAAGTTTCTAATCAAAGTACAAAAACGAAATTGGGTAGCGTGTTATCAAGAGTGGATAATAGAGATCCACTCTATTATCCACTCTTGGTGTTATCTATAGTAAGGTTAATCATACTTCCTGTACGCAGGCATGTTCATGGTCTTATACACTGTCTTATATATCCGATTCCATATACTTTGTTGTGGCAAAAAATTGTATAATAATACATATAATATACTATATAATAATATATTAATATGTGTGCTGTGTGCTGGTGTGTGTGTGGTGTGGTGTGTGTGTCGTGCTGAGTGTGTGTTGTGTGTTCGTGTGTGTTGTGTGTGTTGTGTGTGTGTGTTTGTGTACAGTGTGCGGTGTTCATAGTATGGCGCGCGTGCTGCGAGCGTGCGTGTGCGTGAGTGTGTGTACGTAGAGAAAGAAGAAAGTGACGAGACACGCGCGCGAGCAGAGATAGAAATAGCGAGGAGAAAGAAACGCTTCGTTGTGCCTTCGTACGTGTCGTAATTAATGTATGCGAATAGGGTATGCGTAATAAGTATTCTTCCTGCCGCGTTTAATGCCATTCTTACTACATTGATTCTATCATGTGAAGTAGAATTCTCTGAATTTATGCTATATTGTGGATATTTGTTTCATGAAATGAATTTTATTCATTTCATTTTATTTTATTATATGTTGACGTGTGTTGCTTAATCCGCATCCAAAAAATGTCATCGGCTAGTACGAAGATCGCTTATAGTATTATGTTGTGTATTCTAGACCTAACCCCAGTATTACAAGGTATGAGGTCCCGAGCAGATGCTGGTTGACCCACAAAATTCCCGCTGAAGTTAGTTTTAGCAGATAACTCTCGGTCTACTCGACCAAAGTTAATAATGTCTCATATAATATATTATCTGATTAAGTGAAATTTTCTCGAAACACAATTTCGTATAGATGAGAAATTAGAGCCTATAACAAAGTTTCAAAGGAGATCAAAATCGAGGGATTAGCAAAAAGTGACCAAAAACGTAAAAATTTACAGAAAACTCAGTCATATACCCTCCGCAGGGGCTTTGCGCGAGGCTTAGGTTTTCCCGGCGTGTGTTTGAGCATTGTTGAGTTTGGGTTTTGTTAACATGCACGTCTTCAGTTCACTTCCGCTAGGCTGCGCTGGCGTAGACTTACAAACACAAACACAGGCATCAAGGGCAACCCAGTCCTCCCACTGCACGACTCGCACTAATCCGATCATTAATTATTTATTAATTAATTAATTTTTCCCACTTATTAATTATTATTTAATAAAAAATTTCACATGCAGAGAATCAGCCTGCCTTGGCGGAGGTCTCTGGCTCTCCGATGCTCTAGTGCAAATGCTGTCCCGCGGAGCAAACATTATGGCTTTGGCTATAGTATATCTAAATCCGTGAAGCGCATAGAGGTAAAGGAGCACGTGAGCGCGTTCCAATTAATATATTCAACTTCAGGGCGCTCTGCCAGTCGCTTCCACCCCCTGTGCGCACGCACGAGGTGCGATTTTGAGAAACAGCAATTACTATTTACATAACACAACTGTGGACTTATGGATTTTTCCTTCAACTTCACAACAAATGTACTTTGCAAGCGGTAACTCACATCCCTCGTTACACAGGACGTGGTAAGAGGGTGTGTTAGTTTATGACAACACAGCAATATGGAGAAGCTCATTAATCGCCGTCTCCTGCACTGTGTCTTGTTAGCCGCCGGCCAGATTCCAGCGCACGCGCGAGAGAACGTACGACAGGAAGTGCCACTCACCACGCAGCACGCACGCACGCACGCACGCACGTCAGCACGCCACGACGTAACGCACTTATTACACGAGCGTATGCATACCTCCCGCACACAGCACGCACGCATCGCACGCACGTCACGCACGACCGCCGCCACGTTATACACGCAGGTTGCATACCTCCGCATCACCACGCACGCACCGCACGCACGCACAGTAATACAGGCAGGTATGCAACCTCTACGCACGCAGCGCACGCAGCCACGCACCACGCACGACACGCAGAATGTCGCAGAGCTGGCATGCCTTAACTTTTCCCCATTGCATATAATTTACGTCCTCACGTAAAAGATTTTAGATGCAATGCATTCCCGAATCAACAAGCCTCTGGACAGTTATGATTTTAAACATATCGCCCCACTCAGTAAGTGCGCCTCTCATGAAACACCACCTAAAATAAGCTATATGGTCGTTCGATTCGCCCCAATCGTATGTACGATTATACTTTTCACTTCTAAGATCAGCATCCGCAGGAAATCAAGCAATGCTTTGCCGTACAAGGTGTAGGCTTTTTCGCTTGTAATTGAAATTCTATGTTATATCGCATGTTAGCACTGCGCCAAGAAATTCTAATTGTGTTGGAGGCAGGGCCAGAAACTTGCGGTCGTCATCAATGAAAGAAGTAAATAGTATTCGATTAATATTTACGTAAATATTTTGGAATGCTTTGGTATTTATATCAGCTAATAACGCCACTCGCGACTGTTTAAATCCTCCTCTGTATCAGCCAAACGCGATCTGTACACACAGCGTCGCGATAACAAAAAAGGGATGACCAAACACGAGATACCTTAGACTGATGACATAAATGGCAATCCAATCACATGCGGTTACATCGCGTTCTCGTCTGCAGCGATAAAAACAAAGAGGACAACCCTAGCGTGCGAAATTACTAGCCAATATCTATATATAAAAGCACGCGTATAAATAACATAAATAAATATGTAATTTACGTCCAGCTCCCAGCACGTATGTTCTTATTGTGCTGGATGTGCAGGTGTGCTTTTGTGTTAATTTCCTTAATAAATAATTCCAGTAAAAAACACGACTAAAGACTATACAAAAAGGCTATTCACAGTATATAAATAAGTAGAAATACTAAATATTATGTAATATAATAGTTAAAATTCAATATAATATTCAAATAATCAATCATACAAAGCAAATGAATGAAAGAACTAAATAATCATAACTAGATGAAATAAATCGGTATAAAAATAAAAGTACAATAAAAATAGATCTTAAAACTGCAGTATGCCGATAAAAATTTTATACAAATAATAGAATAAGTAATATACTTACATATTTCAAGCGTACGCTCGCCTGTGAATTGTTGTGTTGTGTGTGTTTGCTGTGTTGTTGTGTGTGTGTGTGTGGTGTTTTGTGTGTGTGTGTGTGTGTGTGTGTGTGTGTTGTGGTTTGTGTGTGCAACTGTGTGTGTGTAGTTGGTGTGTTGCTGTGTTGTTACGTGTGTGTGTGGGTGTGTGTGGTTGAGTGTGCTGTCCCTGATGTGTTATGTGTGTGTACTGTGATGTGCTGTGTGTTGTGTTGGCAATCGTGTGTGTGCTGTGTGTTTTGCTGGCAGCTGTGTGTGTGCGTGTGTGTTTGTGCTGTGTTGTGTGTGTGATGAATGTGTGTGACTGTGTATGTGAATGTGTGGTGACAATTGGTGGTGTGTTTATGACGAGCAATGTGTGTGTGTACGTGCTGTGTGGTGATGTGTCGTGTGTGTTGTGCCTGTGCTGTTTGTGAGTGCGGCCTTGCTGTGGGTGTGGCTTGGGTGTGTGTGTGTGTGTGTGTGTGTGTGTGTGTGTGTGTGTGTGTGTATTTGACTCTATGCTTGCTGTTTTAGCTCATCGTAATGACGACAAGATTATTGGCGGACAGGAGACTAGTGCTCTCGAGTTTCCTTGGCAGGTATGTGCATGTGCGCGTGCGTATGCGTGTACACTCATTAGTGTGTGCGCATGCGTGTGTGCGCGCGTGTGTGCGCGCGTGTGTGCGCGCGTGTGTATGTGCGTGTATGCGTGCGTATATGAGCGCGCGAGTTCTGTGATAAGCTGAAACGCAGTTGGCATTGCATGTGTGCAGCACGGGGCCCTAGTTTCACTATAACGCCAGCGCGTGGGAGATTCCACTACGTCACCAGCTGGCGACAGAGTTACATCGCTTTCGGTAATAGGCCTACTTCAATAATCTGTTATTCACGGCCGAATTTTCGCGGTGCGTGAGAAAACGCACACTAACAGAGGCACGGTTTGTTGGTCGAGGGCATGCACTTATCGATATATAACCACATATATATATTTATATTAATAGATTTATACATAGATCAGTTCATAGATCAGTGGTCGGGTTGTGGCTTTTGAACGTAGACTTGGTCGAATTCACATAATTATCTCTATATTTTTGGATTATTAATTATTATAAGTTATCATATTATGATGACTTATAATAATTAAGAATCTAAAATTATTTGTAGGCATCCGACTAAAATCCGATCGTTAGTTTGAGAATCCAGATGTATAACCTGATAGCAAATATCAATCATAGTTCGATCAATCAATAGTCGATATCAATCAATAGTCGATATCAATAATC